AAAGCCAACAACTATATATCAACATACAGTCACATTTATATTTAAATGAAAGTTGAGGCTTGTGGTTGTGTAATTTGATACAATGTTGATGTGAACTTTAACATCACTTTTATCACACGTCATCTAATGTGAACGTTCACATTCATGTCATCTGATGTAGAACATTCGCGTTATTTGATGTAAACATTCATATTCACGTCATCTAATGTAAACATTCATGTCATTACGTAGAGTTAATATTTGGATGCATGAGAATTACTAAAACATAATGACAATCAATAAAAAATCATGTTTCATTTTTTGTGTGTAATATATATCAACATTAAGGTTTTGTTTGTCATTCTCTAAAAAAGTTTAAAAAGTCAAAAAGTCACTAACAAATTTAAGTCACATCATCTTATTTAAGTCATATCATCTCTCTATCACATCACTTCAAACCCAACTCATACTCAACTTATATTTCATTAAAAGTCAAAAAGTACACTTATTTAGAACATCCTAAACAAGCCCTAAATATTGGTGTGTAGATAATGTATTTTTTTGGAGTGAAGATATGGGGAATAGGAATGGTCATGGAAACTATTAAAATATAATGACAATCAACATTAAATATCAATAATAATGGGAGCAGGAGAGATTGAAAGTGTTTTAGTTTTATTACTTCAAAAAGGACCTAATAGAATAGTCAAAAAAAATATGGGTTGAATTGAATAAAAATCAAAGCTCTCTTTCAAAATCACAAATAATTATTTGTATTTAAAAAAAAAACTTGAATTTATAATTTATCTAAAAAAAATAAAAATGATGCTGCCAAGGCAACATCAATATTTCAATGAAACGACATTATTTTGGCATACGAATTTAATTGAAGTCTAAGATCTCGTTTGGGGGCTATATATTTTAATCAAAAAGTTAAAAAAATTATTATAAGTTATCACATTATTTTTTTTATTTTTTTATATATCTTTTTACAAAAAAAATTATTAAAATAATCTGTTACTAAACGAAGCCTCGATCCAAACTCAAGCCCAAACCCGTGTACAATTAAAATGGGTTACCCAAAGTGATGCTGCCAAGGCAAAGTCAATATTTTAATGAAACGAAGTTGTTTCGATACCGGTATACGAATTTAGCTGAAGCCCAAGCCCCGTGTATAATTAAAATGGGTTAGTATTAATAGTCCACGGTCTTCACTAGTTCAAATCTAATAGAGTTAGGCGACAACTGTTATATGCCTCCCCTCTGGGCTAGCTTATTCGTTCAGGCCCACAAGTACATATTCATTTTTTGTACAAACATGTAGACATATATGTTGTGCGACTAATTTTTTATTTTTTTGGTAGGAATTAAAGAGAATGAATAGAAATCACTAATTGATGGTAATTAATTAAATTAGTTATTGTTGGTCGAATAAGAGTAATACATAGAATTCTTACAAAGAAAATTATTCAAAAAAAATTATTATGTGTTTCAAATTTGTGGGCTTCTTATAAGAGTTCAATACAAACTATACAATGTTTTTGAATATATTTATATTTATGAATTTTGTGCACATATTGTGTAACATTACTAATGCTTAAAATAAAATAAAGGAGAGAAGCAAGAGAAAAAATAATTCGTCTTGCTTAGCGACAATATATAGTTGACAGTCGCAATGTAATACTAATAATATTAATAGAAATTAGCAACTCATTGGAAATAAATAGTTCATGATTTGGGACACTGATAAACTATAGGACAAAAAGAATCCAATACCAAAATTTTGGATGATATTATTCTTAGATCTCCGGCGGATATATCATATCTAATCAATTAGGCCAAAATAAAAACAAGCTATAGACTAATAATTTTTATTTTTATTTTATTTGTTTATGCTACAAAACAAGAACTTGCAAGGCAATAACTGATATTATTGTATTGCAACGCATGCAATGCAACCCTGTAATTGGGCTTAAGGTGTCAGTTATAAGTTTTATACATACATACAGTAATTTCGGAGTATGGACAGGTAATATTTCATAATATTATGATTGATGGAGAAAGTGGGTATATGGGATATTGTGTTGGGTGATTAGGAAACATAAGGGACATATTGAATGATGATTGACTAGAGAATATAGAAGCATAATATTCCGAAAATATTTAATAATTTTCTATTTCCTGCATAGAATCTTCTGATTGCATGCCAATTAATGAGGATCAAATCTTGTGGGAGGTGTGAAAGGATCAATCTTGTGCTTTGGATTTCATTCGGAGCATGCATTGTTACCTGTTACATGTATCATATCTTCACGTGTAACCACTCATATTTTCCTGGAAAATGTGTGTATATATGTACTAGAAATATAAGTATATTATATATGTAAGCAATTAAAAATAATATGGATGTGTTATAAGGTAGTTGTGAATTTCTCCATATATGTCAGTCTTTATTAGTCTTTTTGTATATTTGTTCATCACCGTTTTTGTGGGGTATATAGAAGTAATCATACTGCGGTAGGTTTTTTTTTATTTATTTTTACTGTACATTAGGATGATAGTAGATTAATAAGTTAGATTACAATGAAAGGGTTGTAATCGTTTTATTCTATTGACTCAAACCTTAAACTTCCAACCTTCTCAGCCATAGAAACAATGAATTACTGAACCAACTGTCCTATTCATATACCAAGATAGTTGTAAGAAGTAATTTGAAAATAGGAAAAAATCGAGAAACAAACACCAAATTCTCTATAAATTTTTTGGAAGTCTGCCAAGTTCCCAAGAGCAAGAAAAGGGAAAGAAAAAGAACTATATTAGAGACCTTAAATAATTTATCAAATTTTTTATCAAACCTCTCACATAGGTGTGTGATCCATACACATACGAGTTTGTGTGGATCCCACGTTCATGTGAGAGGTTAATAAAAAATTTGATAGATTAATTTAGATTTATAGCATTTAATGCATGCCATGGAAAAAAAGAAGACCATTAAAGGTTAAAAGGGCGGGGAGGTACGTGAATAATAATGCTTGCTTTCGTTCTTTAAAAACAATGATAACCAACCTCTATACCCATACTTAACTTGAGTGATACTCTACATCATCATCAGTGGTCCAATATGAGAGAAACATAATTACCTATGCATATCTTTTGTGTTTATTTCAATTCCAAAGCATAATGCATGGGTTTTCCCAAAGGCAGTTGATCAGCTTATGTCCAAAACCTGTTTCACAACTTTTCTCGCGAAACAAACATGCGGTGTTGCCAGTGAATCTTCTCTCTCTCTCTCTCTCTCTCTCTCTATATATATATATATATGTGTATATATGCATATGTTCTTTTTTTCTTTTTCTATATTTTAATTTTCTTATACTTAACTTTTTGTTTCGCAGGCTTAAGTTTGTCTGAGCTTGTTGTCCGACTTTTGATGATAGTGTAAGGTAACATAGATTATCATTTAGTAGCTACTGGTTGAGAGAGAGAATGGTCCACCACAGTTCCACATGGGTTGATACCCCATGGATTAGCCAACCACCAATACAAAAATATAACTTAAAAAAGTATTATAAAGACATATCTAACTATAGAGCTAAAACAAACAAGTAAACGATTTGAGTTACGACAAAAAAAAAATTTGATGCCTATTTATTTTATAATGTAAAACATATATTCCAGAGGATTTAGAAATTTTAATATTTAATGCTGTTTTGATAGTTCAAAATGTAGCTAACCTATAAATTAATTATAACAGATTTTTAAAAAAACAGTAATGTTAGGTATCATGAAAAACTTTTCATGAAAATAATCATGAAATCTTTGTGATCCTTGGATTACACTTAGAATAAAGCACCGCACACTAATCAAATCCAAGGATCATAAATCTTTTATGATCATTTTCATAAAAAAATTTCCATAAACCCTAACTTTTCTCTTAAAAAAATGAAGTCACGGGATAAATTTTAACAATAAATTTTATTCCATGTTAATATAGCATTACAATTATAATGTGGGAGCGAGGAACCTAATTTGTTAGGCCATCCTACTCAAATGCTTTTGTATATTGAATTCAATAATGTTAGGTATCATGAAAACAATGTCATGAAAAGTTTTCATGAAGATTCTCCACCCTTGGATTAGATTATAGTGTTTGTAGTGTTTTATTGTATGTTATGCATTTACTATTGGATTAGTTTCATGAAGTTTTTCATGATATTTATTTCATGATACGTAGCATTACCCTATTAAATTTATGAATAATTTATCATAAATCAAACATGGCACAACAAGTTGAACACCAAAAAGTAATAAAAAAAAAAAAATGTGTCCACAAAGAAAACTAAACACAATAGCCTCATTCTAGCACAAAGAGAAAAAATAAATAAATAGAATAAGATAAAGAGATAAACCGAAAAGTGGTGGGGGTCGAAAAAGAACATGCCAGCCTCATGGCTTGCCTTTTTCGTGCTTTTTGCGCTAAAAAATATTAAGATTTTAAATTAAAATTTAAACATAAAATTATTTTTTAGAGATCAAATATTTTTATTGCGGTAAGTATCATTATTATATTTTTAGTAACAAAAATTGGACTTTGTAATTACAAATTATTGTCCCTACAAGTCTATTTATTAGTGATATTTTCAAAATTTTGTCCTTAAAACTCTTATTTTTGACTTTTTGTGACGACTTTTTAGTGACTATCATCATGACGATAAAAATTGATCTCTAAATGTCTTTTATAATAAAATTTTCACTTATAAAAACTAAAATCTTTGATCTCTAAAACTCTTATATATTGTAATGTTGATCTTTCCTAAACAAACCCTTAAAATCATAGTTATTAGTTCTTAGACAACTAGACCCCATAAATGAAAGAAATCATAAAAATCATCATATCATATCATAGATTAAGAAGGACCAACCGACCGTTGGATGTGGATAGTTTCATTAAGGGCAACCCGCCAATCAAGCAAAAGCGTGATTTACAAACCTCCACAACCACAACCCCCCCATGTGCCATAGCCTCCCATGAAATCAGCACAAGAAAACTTCACCCACATTCTAACCCATCTCATATATCATATGATATGTGTCCCAATCTTACAAGTCTTTTATTGTTTTTTTAATGTAAACTGTTGTTACACTTAGACGCCTTGTATTATTTAGTGTTTTCTTTTTTCTTTTCTTTTTTTGTCCTAGTGTATGCTCTCAACTATTATATAACCAACTAACTCTAACATCCTCTCTCCCCCACACTAGACTTTTGGAGGTATTTCAGATTGAGAGAGAAAGATGTTGAAGTTGAGATCAAAGAGGTTTTCCAGGAGCAACTCCAAGCTTGGAAGCGGGGCAAACGGTGGCAGTGTTGGAGGGGCTCGAAAAGGTGGAGGTGGTGGTGGTGAAATCAAATGGGAACTACGTCCCGGTGGAATGCTTGTTTAGTAGAGAGAGACTGGAGAGGGTGAGGGCGAAGGATTGATTACACTCAGAGTCTCTACTGTTTCTCAGTGGCATAATATCACCATCCAAGCAACTTCAACATTTGGTAAGCCCATATACATTACACCTTTAATTTGATTAGGAAAAAAACATTATTGTATACTCATTATCATGGTTTTGAATAGACAAATTGGTATGACGTATAATGCAACGGTATTGCAATCACCCGGGTACTTACCAGGTCAGAGTACGCATACCGGTATGGCTGCACGCGTACTGGATAGGCAAAAAATGCACCGGGTACGTTTTATACGATCCGTATAGTGATGGGTACGCCATGGGTACATTTTTGGGTACTCCGGGATAAAAAACGAAATTTTCTACAAATTAAAAGGTACGCTAGAAATTTTTTATGTCTATTTTAAAAATTTATAAAAATCAGGGGTTCTTTTGTAATAAATAAAACATGAAACCAAATCAAATTAGGGTTTTATATCATTCGATCATCTCCTTTCGGTATCTCCTTCTAGAAATACTCCCAAGAGAGTTTGAAGAACACTTCGAAGGTGCTGCTGATTGCTTCTCTTCTTCGAAGGTGCGATTGAAGAGGTAAGTTCATCTTCGATTCTTCCCCCTTTTCTTCTTCGATTCTTCTTCCTCTTTCTTTCATTTTTTTGTCTAGATTTTTGTGTTGTTTCTTCGCAGCGACCGATCGATTCTTCTTCCTCTTTTTTCAGCTTTTTATTTTCCAGATTTTTGTAAAGAACAAAGATATCTTTTTTTCCTTTGTTTTTCTTTAATTCTTCTTCTTCTTTCTTTCATTTTTTTCCAGATTTTTTCTTTCTTTCTTTACAGCAAAAATGATCTTAGATCTTTTTTTTTTTTTTTTTTTTAGATTGAAGTTAAATTATTTACCCTTTTTTTCCCCCTTTCATTTGTCTTTCTTTGTAGCAAACAAATGAACAAAGAAGACAAATGAACAAAGATATCTGGGGTTCTCTGTAATCATCTTCAAAAAAAAAAAAAAAATGTAAAATGACCCTCTGTTATTTAACTTTGGCCTTTTTTGTTACTGTTGTAGACTGTAGTAGACACAATAATGACATTAAAATGGCTCGTATGATTTACTTTTTTTTTTCTTCCTCTTTTTAATTATGTTATTGAACTTTAATTTGTATGTTGGATGTTTAGTTATAAATTAAAAAATAAAAATAAAAATGCCGTACCCAGTTGTACTCGTACCTTATTTTTTTAAAAATTTATCGTATTGACGTACCCATACCGGTATCCGCATCCGCACCCGTGCTTCTTAGCTTGAATCTTATGTCTCTCCACGCCATATGTTTCATAGCTTCGATAATGCACACCATTAATGAATGCATCTTGCTTTACGTTTGCATTTGTTTACTTTTGAAATGCAGTGAGAATGCAGAAATCTTTCTTGCTTTTTTCCGTGCAAGTTCCAACAAATCACCAAATTAGTATATGGTATATATATTTTCTTGCAATATATCTTTACATAATAAACCCCTGAAACTTCATGCCTCTTCAATTTCTTTAATTGTCACTAGATTTTGTAGCGAGTAAAAGGAAACAAATGATATTTTTGGAGATAATAAAATTAGCTGGAAATTTTCAATTTTTAAGAGTATCTTCTTGTTAGTTCAGTTATGATTTGTGAATGTGTTCCTCTTACTCACCCTCATTTGTGGGAATATTTGTTAGTAGGAGAGGGCATCATTGCAGTGTATAAAAGTAAATAATATGATTGTTTCAGCTTAAAGCTACATGGCCCATTTGGAGGTGGTGTTTTGGGCTCTGCCATCTCTATTTCCCCCTTGTGACATAACATAGCAAAAAAATGACCTGTGAAGTATTGATTCAAAAGGATACAATTATTGACCAACAGTTTAAAAAGAAAGACCTACATAGGAAGTATTCTTTTGATGTAACAAAAGCAGATGAGATATTTGATCATTTGCTTGCAGCACATTTCTTAAAGTTACCTAAGGGAGTTAAAATACCAACTTCTGAAAAGATTAAAGGAAAAATGTACTGTAAATGACACAATTCTTGGTCCCATTTAACTAAAAATTGTATGGTTTTTCGAGACAGGATCCAAGAACAAATCAGGAAAGGAATGTTGAATTTCCCAGCCAAGGCAGACAAGGCTATGGGTATTAACACTGATCCATTCCCAGAAATTGGAGAAGCAACTGCTAATGTTGGCACGCTAGATTTTCAAAATCTTTATCTGAAGGAATTGGAAGAGGTTAATGTGCAAATGCATGTTGCCAACCAGATTGCCTCCCAGAAGGATACCAGAAGTTCACCAGCAAATGGACAGAGCTTTGCAGCCCAAAAGGATGATTCTAGAGATGAAACACTGGATGGTGACCCTCAGGAGGCAGCTGTCATCAAAAAGATGTGTCCCAAATGCAAGTCAAGCTACAAATGGTTGAAATGGCTCCCAATTGATAAGAAACAGCATTATGAGGATGTGTGGATATGCCTTATGCTAGCCAATAACTACAACAGAAGGCCATATCCAACTGGTCCAACTGATCTAAAACAGCAGCCATTTTTGGTTAGACCACCAGCCAACCAGACTGCCTTCCAGAAGGATACCAGAAGTTCGCCAGCAAGTGGACAAAACTTTGCAACCCAAAAAGATGACTCTAAAGAGGAAACACTGTATGGTGACTCTCTGGAGGCAGCTGTCATGAAAAGGATGTGTTCCAGATGCAGGTTAGGCTGCAAATGGTTCAGACCACCTAACCACTGCAGGATGGAAGGCAATTATCCTAAGATGAGGCCTGAAGTAGACTCAAGTTATGGAATCGGAGCCAAAGATTGGTCTCCAAGATCAGTCTCGAACAAGATGGAAAGTAACCACCATAACAGAAGGCCTGTATTATGCTCAAGACAGGGGATCAGGGCCAAGCAGTGCTCTCCACAGATAGTTTCGAAGCTGGCTTCGAAGGCAGAAAGAGCTAGTTCAGCAACTGAACTAGTGAGTTCATTGGTACCTGGGGTTCCAAATTGCTTTGTCATGCAGAACAAGCCTAAGCAAATGCCTACCCAGAAAAGCGATTTTGGAGACAAGGGCAAAATGATAAAACCTCTAGTAATCTCCAAGACTCAGAAGAGAAGGATCCAGAGAAAGTACACTCAGTATCAAAAGAATCTGAAGAAAAGTGGAGAGAGTTCTTCATTGGCCCAGTCAAAAGGCCAGGCAGAGGAAAAAGAAAGTCCAAAATTGGCCCCTCAGATCAAGAGAAGTGCCAGCAGAGAGCAATTAGCCAAGGTTCATGCTGAATTAAGGGCCAAAGAGAGAACTAGCCTAATAGGCCTCGAAAAGGCTTTTATGGAAAGTGAGGATGAAATAGATAAAGAAGGTGAATTAGGCCAGAAGAAGGTATTGGCTTTAATGAAGAGTGAGGACGAAACAGATAAAGGGAATGAATGATATTATTGTATTGCAACGCATGCAATGCAACCCTGTAATTGGGCTTAAGGTGTCAATTATAAGTTTTATACATACATATAGTAATTTTGGAGTATGGACAGGTAATATTTCATAATATTATGATTGATGGAGAAAGTGAGTATATTGGATACTGTGTTAGGTGATTAGGAAACATAAAGGGCATATTGAATGATGATTGATTAGAGAATATAGACGCATAATACTCCGAAAATATTTAATAATTTTCCTATATCCTCCATAGAATCTTCTGATTGCATGCCAATTAATGAGGATCAAATCTTGTGAGAGGTGTGAAAGGATCAATCTTGTGCTTTGGATTTCATTCGGAGCATGCATTGTTACCTGTTACATGTATCATATCTTCACGTGTAACCACTCATATTTTCCTGGAAAATGTGTGTATATATGTACTAGAAAAATAAGTATATTATATATGTAAGCAATTGAAAATAATATGGATGTGTTATAAGGTAGTTGTGAATTTCTCCATATATGTCAGTCTTTTTGTATATTTGATCATAACTGTTTTTGTGGGGTATATAGAAGTAATCACACCGCGGTAGGTTTTTTTTATTTATTTTTACTGTACATTAGGATGATGGTAGATTAATAAGTTAGATTACAATGAAAATGTTGTAATCGTTTTATTCTATTGACTCAAACCCAAAACTTTCAACCTTCTCAGTCCTAGAAACAATGAATTACTGAACCAGCTGTCATATTCATATATCGAGATAGTTATAAGAAGTAATTTGAAAATAGGAAAAAATCGAGAAACAAACACCAAATTCTTTACAAATTTTTTGGAAGTCTGCCAAGCTCCCAAGAGCAAGAAAAGGGAAAGAAAAAGAATTATATACAACAAAGTAACATATGGTGATGAAAAGTAGTGAAGAAAATAAATTTCGTCTCTAAATAAGAACAATTCGTGACAAATTATAAAATTTTGTCACATATAATAAAAAATAAAAATAATAGGTGACGAAATTTATTTTCATCAATAAATACTTCTTTTTAGATGAGGAAAAATTATGTTTCGTCATCGAAGGTTTTCCCACTAATTTTTTTTGGTGGCGCTAAAATTTTAAAACTTTTGGTAAGAAAAAAATTTGTTACTAATTATAAAATTATTAGTGAAGAATATATTTTCGTCACCAATAATTTTACATTTTTTTTTAAAAAAAAAACCTTGATTTTAAATATTTTAAGATTATTTGGTGAAAAATATATTTTCGTTACTAATAATTTTTTAATATTTTGAGACCTTTTAGTGAGGAAATTATTTTGTCACTAATTTTGGAGGGAAATTTTTGACAAATTGGGCTGTAATGAAAAAAAAAAGACTACTAATTTTTTCCTCATTTTTTTTTGGGTGTGTTTATCAGTTTTCCTTTCATATCTCTCTCTCACTACAATAAATTGCAAATTTGGTGACTAAAAAATTTCATAAAATACCTAGATTTATTTTTTGATTGGAATACTTCCACATTACTGCCCAATTTATGAATTATGATTTATTTTTATTTATTTTTTCATATTTTTCTCTATCTTTACATACCCAAAATTAAAGCGCCAAATTTTTTTTGATTTAGCGCCTAAATTTAATAATATCAAAATTTCAGTCAAAAATAACTTTTCATCTCCTTAATTAGAACTTTGTGCCCTAATCTATCTATAGTTCCTTCACAAAGCTATAACAAAGAACCATCGTGAGTTCATACTCCACCGTGAGGATGGTTCATCCACCACCGTGAGTTCATCCTCCATCGTGAGGACGGTTCGTCCTCAACATCGTGAGTTCATCCTGTACCGACATCAAGCTACAGCACCACCGTGAGTTCGAGCTCAGTTTGTTGTCTCTATTTCTCTCTCTCTACCCCTCTCTCTCTGTTCAGGTCTTTAGGTTTCTCATTCTCTACCCTTACTCTGTCTTCGGACATGTTTGCGTAAATGGAATTCATTGTTAAGTTGAGATTAAAGTCATTCCATTCGTTACTTCTAACATCTTCAAAACTTCTCTATTTTAAAGGGTTCTATGAACAACTTGAATGATTTTAATTTGAGAAAAAAATATAGAAAATAGAATGATTAACATGTTATGTATTCTGATTATGATACTCATATTTTACCCAATATAATCATTGAAGTGAATGAATTGTTGGTGATTCTACACACAGTGAAGTCTCATGCTTCTGATTATGGGTCTGCTAGGTGTTTGCCACAATGGCTAATTTTTTCTTTATTGTTTTGTTTATTTTTTTATTTTATTTTTGTTTTTTTAAGGAGCAGCAGGATTGAATAATTATAAAGTCTGATTCATCCTTTTTTCCCCCCTCTAATCACAAAGTTATTGTAATGATAATGATTGATAAATGACAATCATGTCCTTGTTTTGCATTTTACATCCTTGGTTCTTATAATGAATGATAAATGATAATGATGTCCCTGCTAGACATGGTCTAAATTCATGCCAAAATTGCTAATTTGCTAAGTAATAGAAATTCCCTTTCTTTTGTTTATTTTAATGCATTATCTTGCATCTCCCACATGCAGCCAACTCCTCCCTTAAGAAAATTTAAGCAACATTGTAGGTAATTCTGTAATGAGTTTTGTAAATTTCTTGCTAAAGGTAAGACCTTGATCACCTACCCCGCATTTTGTTGCTGCTTATGTCTATATTTGTCCTGCTTGTCTACTGTTACTCCATTATTTGTTACTTGCATCATGATAGTAAAATAGAAGAGGATGTTATTGCTATATGATGTTGATTAGAATATTGAATTTGGTATTATACTTGTAATTTGTTTAGTTTGGAACTTTGGATGACTTTTTTTGAAGTACATCTCAAGAAGTTCTGAGAAGGGAAGTTAATACAGGAACATCACCTCTTTTAAGAAGAGGATCTCTTGTCTTGATTTTTTTTCCATGGAAACCTTCACTACTCTACAATATGATTTAAAATTTTTGTGTGAGATATTAATTCAAGGGATTGAAACTTCCTTATTATGAAATATTTGGAGTTAAAATATATGCATTACAATTCGAAAAATTGGGGTGGTGGTAGTGGCTGTTATTGTGGCAGTAATGAGAGCTACATGGTATGCTTGTGGTGAGAATGCTAAATTTATGTTTGGCTAATTATATATGAAGATTTATAAACTTCCCTCCTAGGGAATTTTGGACTGAAGAGTTGACACCTTGAAATCCTTCTTTCAATTGACTGAGGATCTGGAAATCCATTTCCCTGCCAAAGCAAACAAAAGATTAGAAACAAGTGATTTCCAAATCCATTGTCACTCCAAATATTTTGCCTCTATCTTCCTCATCCATGTGCTAAAGTAATGATTTTTGGAAGTTGCTTTCAGTGTGCTAGTTTATTTTACATTTTCTATAGGTGGTTTTCTTTCACTACAAAAAAATGTGCATTTAGCGACCAAAATTGGCGACTAAAAAAAATTTAATCGCCAAAAGTTATGGAATTGGTGACTAACATTTTTTTTAGTCGCCAAAAGTAAAATATTTAGCTACTAATTTTTTTTAGTCAGGGTATCACTACAACAATTAACACTTTTAGCAACAAAAAAATTGGTCGCTAAAAGTCTATTTTTGGTCGGCAAAAGTTATTCGCGACCAATTTTTTTGGTCGCTAGTTTGGTCGCCAATTGAGGGTCGACAAAAGTAATTCGCGACCAAAATTTTCATTGGTCGGCAAAAGTTGGATTTGCCGACTAAATTTTTGGTCGCTAAATATTTAATTACCGCGACTAATTCATTTTGTCGCTAAAACACTTTGGTCGCGAAAAGTGATATTTTCCCGACCAAATTTCTTAGTCGCCAATTGACACATTTCGCGACCAAAAAGTTTGGTCGCCAATTATCACATTCAACGACCAAAAAATTTTGGTCCGCCAATTGTTACTTTTCGCGAACCAAAAACTGTTGGTCGGCAAAAGTGGGTTTCCAACGACACAAAATTGGTCGGCAATAGATGTATTTTTTGCGACGCAAAACTCTTGTCGACAATTGTCATTGCTTTCGCGAAAAAAAAATAATTTTTAATTTGTCGGCGACTGAAATGAATTGGTCGCTCAAAGCCGGCAAAATAATACACCTGTAATATTTAGCGAATTCATAATCAAAACATAGGACGAATTCATTATCAAAACAGGTCTATATAAAAATTTTCTATATCTAAGTTTCAACCACAATAACTCAGCAGGCAGCCACATATAAATGTCAATTGATCAATTCAGTAATGCAAGAACTGAGATAGTGGCCAGCATATAAGCAGAAGCACGTTTCAAATAAAAACCAAGTAATTATGAAGCAGGAATCATAAATCAATTGATGATATTTTTTAAGAACCAACGCACAGAAGAAACTAACTAACAGCTAAGGAAATGAAAGCGGCCAAAGAGTTGCATTGCATACAAACCTTAAATCTGGTAATTCCAACTACACATGCGCATTCAACAACTTCAACCCTGCACGTTTGACCAAAAAAAAATTAAATGCATGTCACAATATATTTTGGTTTGCACGATATATATATATATAATATATTTCCAGCAGCAAGGGCAGTATCAGTCGCTACAGCATGCATACATAATGCATACTATATGGTTTCGAAAATTTATTGAAAAGAGGTAAATCAATAAAATACAAAGTATGCAACATCAAAATTCCCATATTAATTCAGTCCTGAGAATAGGAGCAAACATTCATTTTGTTAAATGGGCAAAATGCTTGATGAATTAAGAAGGAGAAAGTCTATAACAAACATATGGTAAATTTTGTTATTTGGCTAACCAAACAACCTTAACCAACATGATTGAGCTGAACACCTTTGACTCGAGGTAAATTGGATACAGCCTCTTCAATCCTTTTTTTTTTTTTTAAAGTGTTGCATAGTATTTTGCCTTCACCCAGATCCAAATAGCCCAAGTTGTAGCCCTTGTCCAGGTAACGCTTCATTGGGTCCTGTGTTCATTGACTAATAAACAGGTGGTTTCGTTTTCTCACTATAAACATATGGAATTAGTTTATATCCATTGAGTCAAAAGCATTTTCCACATAATTTTTTTAAAATATAGGAAAAAGAAAAAGAGGACAGTGCTTTTACTGGGGCTCATAAAGCTAAATACAAATGATTTACAAGTGAGTACCCAGTAAATTCTTGCTGCACAGAGGGTTCCTACCAAGTGGCAATCAAATCATCAACCACCAAAGCAACGTTCATCAGGCTCCAAGCTGCTCCAACATCATCTCTAGACAAATCCGTTCCATATTCCAAGATATATTTTTCCTGAAATAACTTCGTCTGTCCAACTACGCAAAAAAAAAACACACACACACACACACTTACTTGTCTTAATGAAACTTGATGCTATAAGAATTCGAAATTTTGATCCACAAACACATAATATTTATACCCACGACATCACACAATCATAAGGGGACATCAAACAATGCT